AGAAACCTTCAATAGAAACCATCCTTCCTTTCAGTAACTGTTTCCTTTCTCCATCATCTTTTCTAGTTATCACCTAGACCTAAAGCTGTCCCAAACCTAAAAGAAAAACCTCACCATGTTTCCTGTAAAGACTGACCCAGAGTATTCTCTCATCTACTCATCAGTAGGTGATCATGTGAATCCTTTATATCCCCATCCCTGAGCAGAAATGAAAAGTGCCAGCTATTCTTGGCTTTAAAGGGGATGTTCCCATTATAATACTGACAAGCCTTTACTCTTTCACACCTGTTTAGCATTGTGTTAAAGCTTTTATGTACATTTCCAGAAACACTAACAGTCTAAATCCATTCTGATGAGGATGGCAAACTGTAGTGTGTAGTCCACTATATTGCTGGTGATAAAACATTTTTTGATGGTGCTCCTCTTTGAACACTAATAGGACAATCCTCATAATATGTCCTCAAAGTTTGACTACCATAAGACATACCTTTGTCAGTTCTATAGTACTATTGCCTTACTCAGAGGAAGGTCTAGTGTGCCATTTTTTATCCACTTACGAAATAGCAAACTATGGAGAGAACTATGCAAAGGTAATGCCTGCAGGTGCTCTGGGTGAACTGCAGAGACGGGATTCATTCTTGTTTGATCTGGAAGTCAGAAGAATTTTTTTCCATAACAGAGGCCAACAACTAGCAGTATTACCTGTGTGACATTCTACTCTGGCAAGTGTTTAAGATAAATGAACTGAGACAAATGTTACTGCCCCGTTTATTTAAAAAAAAAAAAAAAAAAAAAAAAAAGGTATTTAAGCACTTCTGTCTTTTCCAGCAATGCTATTCACTTATATTCCAAGTGCTTTAGAAACAGCAATCACACATCATGGGCATCACATGAAGTTGGTATCCTTACAAAGCCTTCTTTTATATCTCACTTCACAAATGAGAAAACTGCAGCACTGAAATTCCTGGTGTCAGAAAACTAAACAATAATCAAGTTCCATCTGTCTACATGAGATAATTCAAGAGACTACAAATATATGACAGCTCCATGACTAACACCCCCAAGAGACTACCACTGTGCTGGAGATGGCTTTCATCTAAATTCTGAGCCCTATTTTTTTTTTCCCCAATTGCATAGTTTCCTATAACTGGTTACAGAGTTCACAGAATACGTTTGGAAAAAAAAGTTTCTGACAGTCTCTTGACAATTTTTTTTAGGAAATGACGTTAGAGTCAGAGACTTCCAAAGCGATCAATCATCTTAAAAAGTATAATAGGAAGTTAATAAGCTTTTACATCCAGAAAGTGTTATATCACAAGAGGTAGTCTTTTTGCCCAAATGATTTTACAACACTGAATATTTGCACTTAAGTGCTTGTTAGTAATTCCAGTAAATGAGCTTTCTGTTTTCTAAGTATGCGGTAAAATTTGAGAGTAACAATACCTCAGAAATGTATGCAAAATTCACAAGCACTTTGCAAAAACAGGAGCTGGATATGTTGACTAAACAATCCATTTGATATTATTTGTTTGCCTCTGATGTTATGAATTAATTTCCTAAAGAGTAGTAAGAATTACAGTACTTCAATATACAGAAAAACCTTCACAGGTGGTCCAAAGCTCAAAGCCTGTTGAGTTTGGTTTTTTTTTTTTTTAATTAATCAAACAAACAGAAGCAAATGATAGATTATTTATTGAAAAATCAATCACCTGTGTATAAGCAAAATTTTGGGATATTAATATAATCAGATATCCTGGATACTTCTTTTCCATATCTGATTTTACACCAAATTTACCTTGATAATTTAACATTAAGAAATGAAAATGGTTTAGCACTTACAAAAGGTACGCGCTACATATTATACGATAGCCATAGGTTTTCAACATAACATGTAACAGAGAAACAATGATATGAATGAAAAATTAAAGGAACAAAATACAAACCACAAAAGATGAATAAATATCAACAATTGAAAACCATAAGAATAAAAATGAGTGTGTGTGGGGGGGCCAATCCTGCACGTCTATTAAATAGTTTCAAATCACTATTATGAGCAAAAAAGAAGTATTCAAACTGTAGATTCCCACAAAGTCATTAGTTTTGCAGCCAAAGGGACTCAATGCAACCATCCTGTCTGATTGTCCCCAGACTGTGCATTTCCTGTACCAAACAAAAACTCATGACGGATGTGCAAGCAAATCTTTTAAAAATTATGTTAACTGCTGACAGAGAACCTTTGCATAGCAGAGGACCTCCTGATCTCCTGTGGTAACTTCCTTCATGGGTAAAATGTCGCAGTGTGTTTCCTTGGTAAATCTGTCTAGTAGGTGTTCAACTCTGAGACTGCAGAGCTTTGTGTCATGAAAACAGGTTCTTTCCAAGCAGGTAATACACAACATTGTCACCCTCACTTTACCTTCTGAGTATAAAATTCTTGACTATGGAAGAGATGTAAAAGACTCAAAGCTGAGGAGAGGCTACTTCTGCTGTGTTTTTGAAGTTTTGGACCAATCCTCTGATCTATTACTTCTACCATTTTCCACCATCTATCACTTAGCAACAGCAGGAGCAAACCACCGGGTGTAGGAAGCATGGCTGAACAAAAGGCTGAAAAACTTCACAGAACATACAGCAAAACAGAGCAGAGATGAAGAAGGAAAAAGCATGAGAGAAGTGTATTTGCAGAATGGCATCTTGGTTCATAAGCTCTACTGTGTAAATAAGGACCTTCCCACTGAGACAGTCAGTGTGTTTTTTAAAGATTCTTTATGAACACCAAAGCATGCTTGCCTGGAGTACAGCTGTTTTTCACTAATTGTAGAACCAGCTCGATCTTTTTTTTCAAGGCTTAATCCAAGTGCAATTGACTCTGGCAAGCATTAGTTAGTTATTTAATTGTTAATTAGTGACTTTGGTAAACTTTAGATCTGGTGCTTAAGACAATAATTCCCCATTGATTAACATCTTATGAAATGTCTATTCCTGTGCAGGATTGGCTCCCTCATGTTACAATTTCTGAAATGGCAAAAGCAGGAACCTTTATTACTAACCAATTTTATTCTACGTGAAACAGCTGAAGTAAAACACAAGGCAGCACATTGCACATACAGTAACAGCACATTTTATAGGAGGGTTTAATTTTGCCAGGAAAAATCAATTCAATGAGCTTCTTACATAATTTTCTGAGAATAGTTTAAGGCTTGTGAAAGCTGATGCAGTCACCCAATACTAGAAGATATCTCAGTTTTATGTGTTTAGGTGGAGACAACTTGTTCACACACACTATACTGGCTGGGAGGCTGAAATCCAAAAACTTCATGCTTTCTCTTAAACTTCACACATAGTAAAACACCAGCCAAGTGAACTAAGCACTGTAACTGCATGTACTAAGCTTTAGTGAGGAAGAGACTTGAATTAGAATTCAGCATCAAGATTAGTAACTATTTTCATCCAGCTGTATATTAGTATCTCTCCCAACTGCATAATTTGGTATGGCATTTCAATATGCCCAAAACTAGTGATGAACAGTCCAGGGATTCTAATTTGCTGAAACCATTCCAGTTATCAGCTAAAAATCTCACACACACACCTGTTGCAAAGGACCAATGAGCATTTAAACCGTTACTAAAGTATTAAAGATAACATCAAAGCTAGAAGAAATTTTAAAAATTGTTACTGGGCTATTATTCCAAGACCTTAAACACAGATTCAATTTTAAGCTTTAGAACACAGTTTTTAAATGTAGCTGAAATCTGAGCTTGATCAAACTAAACACACACAGATGCGGTTTTCTGGGGGTGTGCCGGAGGCTATTCAGACCAGTTTGGTAGACCCAGCAGCCAAAATAAATAGCTGTTCTTGTGAACTAAGATTTTAAAACTGTCTCTACTATGCTCTGCTCCATAATGTTTCCCCTTTCTTAGGAAACACAGTGCTCACAGTCAAATTGGTGAGGAAAAAACAGTCCTCTTTGTCCTTCTAGTCATGCAGACCTAGACTTCCCTGTCTAGCAGGTATGAACAGCATGAAAACATTTGGGAAAAGAGGCACAGGAAGTCTCTGGCTCCACTGACAAGATGGTATGAAGCTTCTGTCACTGTAGCAGTGTCTAGTACTGCTCTGTCCTCTGTTGATCCCCACTGTGGAAGTCTAGCCCATGCTCAAACCCAGGGATGACTCAGACTGTTTTGGCTATCTCCACAGAACAAGCCATGGGAAAACTTCTATATAAATAGCATAGTAGTTAAAAAAACCAAAACCAAACCAAACAAAAAACAACACACTACATCATTTACTTTTTTTTTTCCCTTCTCAAATTCCAGACAGGGAAGATGAGTTTGGATTTCACGGTTAATAAAGACTATGTTTGGAGACTGATTTTCCTGCTGGTAGCCTGTCATCCATCCTGTCATCCATGCACCAGCCTCCTTTTCTTGCTTACAACAATAAACAATTATTTATATTTCCTAACTTGACTTGTTTGTGCCTCTGGAGTTTTCCTAGTAACCAGCAGCAACACAGATGCATCTACTGGGGACCCTAAGCACAGCGCAGCCAGCAAAGAACATTTTAGACTTCAAGCATTTTTAGCCTCTCCCTCTTCCCTGGCAAGATTCCCAACCTACGAAAATCTGCTAACCAGAGCAAGATGGGCCTTGTTCCTTAATAGATGGTCATTTTGAAGGATGGTATTTTGCTAGCAGGAAAATGTTAACTGTTCTTGTTAAGCAGTGACTTTCATGATGTACTATTTAATTAATAGACCTAATTTATATTTGCACAGTGAGCCATAAGGGTGATGGCATGTTCCCAGAAGATTTTTTAGTAATTAAATTTTATAGCTTCCTAAGCATCTTATTCTCTATGCTCAAACGAAAATATTGACAACCATTTTTTTTTTTTTTTCCTTCTAGACTCTGCTGATAAACAGAATGCTCTGCTAGAAACTACAAAAGAGAAATGAAAATATCATGTTAATGCTTTTGGAACACATTACTTACTGTGGTGGCACAGTGGATGTCTTTCCATACATTGGCTTCCCTGGAGAGATCTGAGACTTCAAAAAGGTTATCAAGAATAACTTCCCCAATCATGTCATGTCTAGAAAATCTGTCAAAATCATAAACACTGAAATGCAATTTCCTGTTGCTGAGTTGATCATAGGCTACAGGAAACTGAAAGGTTTCATCAAAGACAGGATTTAATGTCTTTCTGTGAACTCGTGTCTGAAACTTCTTTTTCCTATCTGGAAGCAGATAAATCTTAACGTAGGGGTCGGATGTTCCTGTGAAGTCTTTAGCAGGCAGATCTAAGGCTTTGACAATTGTGACAGCCAGAAGTTCATTCTCATAATCATACCGAAGAGTGAAGTTAAGTTTTCCACATGTTTTCACATCTTCTTGTTGCCCATCAGAATCCACAGACTTCTGTTTGTAGAGTTCTGGTTTTATTCTCCCAATGCTGGTTGTCGTCTCTCCCCTTTGCAAAATCGGATCTGTTCCCATGTTAAAATCAACACTGGACACTTGCATCTGCCTTGGCAAGTGCCTCCTGAAAGAATTGTGCCTGCACACATACACACACACACACACACACACACACAAAATGAGCCATGGTTATCTCCGGGAAAAGACCTGGCTATTACTAAGTAGAAAATACAAGAAGACCAAGTTAGTAGGGGTTCTTCTTTTTAAAATAATTTTAAAATAACACCACCTCCCCACCCCCCCTGAATGTTTTGCAAGTGTTAAAACATCCTTGAGAGGAAATGATCATTCAGAATTAACTTCTTGGCCCAAGAGACACTCAGTGTCCTGGCAATACATATATTTATAACCTTGTTTTCAGGCTATGCAGCTGAAACTGAATTCAGGTTCCTACACAGAACAAGCTGACAGTTCCAACATTGCTTGTTCCCGCTGTGCTAGGACCTGAGTAAAGTATAGCCAGGCAGAAAAAAATTCCTTGCAGAATTGTCATCAGTACATCCTGGTTTTTGGAGGCTTTCTGTGGTAGTTTTCCAATTAAATATTTACCAATCTTCACACCAATCAATGTGAAAGGCACCTGAAAAGGCTATGCAGAGCTATGTCTGGAGGTTTTCAGCATAGTGCTTTGCTATCCTACAACAATTTATATACATCTGCTTGGTATTTGCTACACTGAGGCACAGGCTGCCTTCTCCAACCATATCGGGAACATTTTGTTCTGGCTCCAACACATTTCAAAATTTTGGTCAACATTTTTCTGTGGTAGTTTTTTTTCCCCCCTGTTTTCGCACTCTGCTGTGTAGTGTATTAGAAAGATGATTCCTGTACTCCTAGCAAGAAACAATGTTTAAATCCTTGTCATTCTGAACACAGTGTTGCATAAGCATATGTATTTATGGGCTTATCTTGACTCATGAACATCAATGGAAATTTGTGCCTTTCCTACTAAGACCAAAATCAAGCCTCTGGTATGCCGTATGGCCTTACAGTGGTATAAAAACATCGGTCAAAAAGCTTCAGAGAAGCATCACCAGCAGACACCATTATGACCATACTGTCCAGTTTATTTTTTGGACATTTTCACATTTCCTTGGTACTTCACTACCCCAGCAATCTGTACTGGAAAAGCTCACTACCTCCTTCTGTGAGTATACTTAGTTGCCATTAAAAAACAATTTAATTGTCAGAATTTCCTCTGCTTTTTGCAATCAATTGCTTATTAATGCCAAATGCAGCCTTGCCTTATTGCTTGGTTTCCCTGTGGTGTTGTGTTCTGAAAACAAGAAGTGTCACAGCTGCGTGTTTCTTTCTTTAAATCAGAAATGCAAATTGTCCATTTGAAAGCAACTAGGACTCATTTCATAGATATTATTTGTATTTTTGCTGTAAGTGAAGTGGTTGCAGAGACATGAAGCACAAAACTACCGCAGTTCAGCTGAGTGGAGATACAAGAGGGTAATCTGCAGCCATTAAATAGTAGACAAGAACGTTTCCCCTTTTGGCTGTTTCAGTACTGGTAAGTGCAGGGAGGAGTCTTATCATAACACAAGAATAGAAGAGGGAGAACTTCATAGTCTAGATTTTAAGTGGTTCCAAAAAATCCAGGTGTTTTGAAATCCAATTTAGATGAACAATGCATCCCTCTCATAACACATTCTACCCTTCCTTTTTTACCAGATGGACAAATCGAAAGATTTTATTTTCTATTAAATGCTAAAACTCTCTAAATTCATAGCATTGGAGTCTATATTGGAATGCAGTGAGGAGTCAAAAGGCCCTATCTAGTTAGAAAAGTACAATACTGGCTTCAGGGAGTTTCAGGGCTGACCTTGTGCCTTTGTCCTACAAGAAGTCCAGCCTTGCAGGTGTGCTAAACACAGGCAAGGAACTGAACTTCACCCAAAATGTTGTGGCAATAAATGTTTGGGCATGCAGCAATTTAGGCACTAGCTCTCTAGTATCTTTGACTCATAGCGAAGTCCAGGAAGACCTGTGTTACTGCTACTTCTGTCTGTGTTAATGAAACCTGTGCAGGTAGGTCTTCCTGAATGCTCTTCACACCTGCAGCTGTAGTACTGAGATGCCCAGATCATCGTGTTCAAACTCTGTCATAGACAAGCCGTAGAGAAAACAGCCTATGCAGGGGAAACAGTGAAGCTGACTGTATGGCATTTCCACTTTGAGTGAAAATGGATACAGGACAAGTTCTCTTTTGCTTGATTTTTCTTGCATTTATGAAGGTCTGAGTTAATACTAGTAAAAGTCACATACAAAATCTCAAATCTATGATTTCTAAGGTACCAACCTTGTTTCAAATTTTCAAACTTTGTGCACATAAGATTCACTAGTGAACATAGTCACTGTTGCGAGATGTCACTATGTAAAACAATGCAGCTGCATGGCTGTTCCTTGTGGGAACCAGCAGCACTCTTGCTCTAGTAAGCCAAAGTCCTAATTACATAGAGCTTAGTATCTGTTCTGAGTCACAGCATTTCAGCAAGATAGCTAATTGGTCTGTTAATTATTAAGATGCTTCATTGTTGTCATGGCAACATATTTATCTTCCTTTATTCTGCAATAACAAAGGAATTAATGACTGTGATAATGAAGTATGAGGATGTCAGGTAACCACATTGTGAATATGCTGCAAAGATACAAATGTGCAAATCCAGGTACTTCAACCCCTCCTGGCTCTTACACGTAGCACTCCTATAATAGACATGTGTTCTGTAATTTAGAACAAATACATTCTGAGTGACAGTAAATCTGTATGTAAATCTCTAATACAAAATTGTGCTTGCATAGGAACAATGACAATGTGAAGCTGACTTCTAACTCAGTTAAGACTGCCATATGTAAGACAACAGAGAAAGATAGGACGCTGATTTATGATATCACTTGATATCTATGAGGGATAGCTCTGGTCTAGCTTTCTTAGATGACATTAGACCAATCTTTTGGACCACATCCGGGAATGGACACCAGCACTTGTGGTATTTAGACAGAACAGAGGCTTCTGTCTCCTCCTTGCAATCACTAAAGTAAACACATCTGATTGTTTTTCTTTAACATTCTCAAGTGCCTCACTTTTGCCTTTGTGCCTCTTAGGAACTGACCTACTCTTTCCAGAGCTGAATGACAAGCTCATTTCCCACCTAATGCTGAAGAGCAAAAAGCATGTCCTTTGAAAATACAGGTGAACATTTAAAGGAAGTAATATAACAGAAGCAATAAACTATATTACAGGATACTTTCACAAAGTATTGGGAAGAGTGGTTCGCAATAACACAGAGAAAAAAATGTTTGTAAATGAACACTACTGATACAGGACTTCTAGCAAAATTTACTGGTAAACTGGGATCAAGGACTAAAGAGCTTTCTCTTTTTTTTTTTTTTAACAACCAGGTTTTTTCATATTATTGGGAACTATTTTAATTAAGCAGGAATTAATAATGTCTCCATGTTAAATGTTCAGTCTACAAAAAGTGATCAGACATATTTTATTATTGCTTTGAATGGCTTCTTAAATCCTTATGCATCAATTACAATGATTTAATATGATTCTATTTCTAAGAGCTAATGGCTGCAAGAACCTATCACAGAACTGGTTACAACCCTTTTCTTTGCTCCAGCTCAGGTGAGATCAGTTTCGAGGAGACAATCCAGACAGCAAACATTTATCTTAGATCCTTTCTCAACTGAATACAGTTCGTAGATGGTGCATTTGGGTCCGTTTGGACTCCTGAGTACAACAAAGCAGTGCTGTGTTGAAGATGGTGCAACAGAAAGCTATGCTACCTCTGTGTCTGCTAATAGCTTCCCTTTATTTAGAGGTCCCCAATGAAGAACATCAGAGACAGCTTTTAATCATCTTGTGATCCAGTATTCTGTGACACAACGGAGTAATCCAGAAAGTTGGTCTAAATATCCAGCCTTCATCTAATATATTATATTCTTGGCAGTAATAATTAATATGGGATGTGGGAAGGTTAAGACTCACTTAAGGCAGGCAGGGGTACACAAAAAATGCATTTACAAACACAGAAAGGACCATTTCTGGTCCTCTTAAGACACATTTCATTCTAAACATGTTTTGTAGCAAGGGTGCAGTTTTTCAGCACACGGTAAAGGTGATGTCTCCAAACAGGCTGCTATGAATTGGCTAAGGTGGAACAACCAGGCTTACTCAAAGCAAAGGAACTGTCCCTCTCAGGAGATATTTAACCCTGATAATGTAGAGAGGATAAAAAGAAAAAGCTCCCTTACAAAGTTACCAACATGTGCAGAAAAGAGTAGGATTGATGGCAGGTTTTAATTTTGTAAAACTGTCCTTGGCTTCACAGATATTTAAATGCATTTAGGTCCCAGGCCAAAGCACTCTAGAGGTCTGTGGGAATACTTTCACAGCCTGAAGTAGCTCTGGTTCATGTCCCTGGAACTTATTTCTTCCCCTAGAGTACCACAGGGACTATTCAAGTCCATTTGCCAGCCAGCCATTTCTTCTGTCAGTTCAGGAAGTCAGACAGTCTGACTACCTACAGATTTACGTGTTGGTACATGATGGACAAAACTCTTCCAAGTAATATCCTGCTAGGTAATAGCTAGTTGTGTAATATTCTTGTCATGCTAAGCTGTATCAATTTTGGTCCCTCTGGGCTAAGTATAACAGTTACAATTTCAAAGTTGTCTTCCCAGTATTTTGGAAATGTTCCTCAGAGTGGCTTGGATACTGTGCGCTCTCTTTTAGCAGATGGATACAGTAGCTGGAGCCAGGCATAGCCCAGGCAACGTGGCTTAAAGCCAGCTGCCTCAGAATTCAGGAGATGGTTCAACTGCTAAAGTCAGTTAGACCTCCCATTTTTGGAAGCCTCCTGCAGTTGCCTGTTGGCTGTTCCCTGCTGTTGGAACAGCTGGGAAAAAGCACTTCAGCACTCACCACTGCAATGACTACTCCGAGATGAAAAAACACTGTCTTAGGGACTCACAGAAGGCCAGTAAAGTATGTGTCCACTAAATGTAAAGCATGTGTCTTCTCCAGTCTTGTGCCTCCAACGATTATTATGAATGCAAGCCTTTTTTGTTTGTTTGTTTGTTTTGGTAGCTTATGTTCATTTAGCAAATGTCTTACTGAGGGAAAGCTACTTCTTATACAGTATTTGTATTCTTACTTATGGCATTATCCAACACTTCAGGTGCCTCCTTTAGCCTTCATTTCCTATTCCTTGTTTCTATAACATTCCCTCCATTTTTTTTCTCATGTAGAAAGTGATCTTTGCAGTTCACTGTTTTCCATGCATTAAATTTGCTGACAGTATTTGAAAAAAAAACTAATTTGAAACTATAGGCCACTGCACATGTCTTCACTACTTTAAGCTATAAAGCAATACCTGAGAAAATAAAAATGTTTGTGTTCTCCACTTTAATACAAAAGAAATCACTTCAGCAATACCACATGCTTGTCATTTATTTAAGGATCTATATAAAACCTGTTCTAAGATCAGTCCATAAGGATCTACATTCTTAGACTGGGATTTTAATTCTTTTATAAGTGGCAAACCATGTCTTAAAGAAATGTGCCATCAACAACAAATCTGTGATTTATTTAGTGGAGAGGGAAACTTTCATCTGCAAAAAGCAACTGCTGCATCTATAAAAGTATCTCTGTGAAAAGCCAGACTTGCAGTACATTTCATCTGCAAAAAGCAAATGCTGCATCTATAAAAATATCTCTGTGAAAAGCCAGACTTGCAGTACTTTAAAAAATAACACTGAAATAGATTTTCCTATGCACAAACCTAAAATGGAAATGCTTAAACTAGTAACATATGTATTTATGAAGTAGTAGAAGACATAGATTTGATCTTCGTATGTCAAAATAATTATGTAACTGAAGGCACACTGTATTTTTCAGAATATTCTGTTCAAAGGACACTGAGGCATCACCTTCATGTGACTGCTGTTTCACCCATAACTGCTAAGAAGTCAGTGAATAATCCAGGATCCTGGAAGTTTTCAGCAGTGTTCTGGCTCTGCCTGTTCCCAGGAAACGTGCCACAAACACGAGTGCCCTGACTTACCTTGATGACGATGTGGGCTCAGTGATCTGCCTCTGCATGCGTGCATGTCTGATCAGATGCTCTTTCAGTGCGTTCTGGACCTCTGCTGGTATATCAGGTGAAGTGTGGCTTATTTTCAATGCGGCTTCAAGTACCTTTGTTGGAGGTTTCCCATTTTCTTTAACTTCCTTTTTCTCACTGGTCTCAAAAACCTCTGTAGGAGCGCTGGAGTTGCTCTGAGGGACATTACTGGCATTGGAAGTGAGAGGTTTGCTTCTCCAGCAGGGCCAACACAACTTCCAAAAGACAAAAAGTGAGACTACCAGCAAGGCGAGCCCGCAGAAGCTGACGACTACTGCTAACAGACTGACTGAGATGTCTGCAAGGAATTAGAAACAAAGATCATCATGACAGACAAACACAGAGAGAAAAAAAAAAATTAAAAGTGACACAGGTAAGGAAATAGAAGCATTTTGATCATTATCTTGCACAGAGCTTTAAAGTTTTTTGTTTAATGGCTTTTTCCTTTTTGATATCTAAGCCTGTACCTTTAAAATGTTATCATTCTCTAATACCTAGTTCACAAATACTCCATTAATTGTTGTTCAGGCCAGGAGCCAGTGTCTGTACCACTAGCCATGCACTCAGTCAGACTTCTCCTGAAGTAAGGGACTACCCAAATGGCCCCAAATACACCTAGCCATTGTGTCTGCTCAGGAACACATCTTGCTGAAAAGGTTAAACCACAGTCAACATTTTCTATGTTGAGGTCACATGAAGATAGACCCAGTTCTAAACTGCAAGGCTGACACAAAAATTTCTTCAGGACCTGCCAAACTTCTGATTCTGTGTGCTAACTGCTACAGAAAAGTTAAAACCTAACATTTAAGTGGCATAAATACGGATAGGATATAGTCTGTAATAAATAAGAAATTTACAGGGTTCAATCTTAAGCTCTGGACCAAGACCATGTTAGATTAAGACAGCACGTATACATTGGTATCTAAAATCCTGCTCTGAAAATGCAGCTGGCTTCAGTCTATGCTAAACAATGCCCTGAGTTGTACAGAGACCATACTGTACACTTAACTACCCCTGCTGCCCTGCATTTGACTTTTTCTGCTACAATTAGTTAGCATATCCAATAGCACAGCCAAAGACAGGAGAAGAGATCTCATACCAATGAAATTCCGTGAACTGACTTGTATTTTAGGAGATGGTGGATCACCAGAAATGCCAGTTGAGCCCTAATTATGAGTTTTATTCTATGTGACATGTTTCAGTTTGATTCTTCCAGTATCATGCAATATTATAAAATACAGCTAAAAAAATCCCTTTCCTTTTGAAAAGGGCCTTTTGTATGACTTGAAAGTATTCAATAAACCCTGCTTAAATGTCCCTCAAGCAATGTCTGCTGCTGCTTGTTACAACAAGTTTTGACAGTTTAACAGCTAATATTTTGTATCTGTAACTCCAGGCTACAGGCTACTAAACTGAACCAGTGGAAAAGTGCAATGAGAGTTTGAGCATATTTTTTCTAGAGGATTACAGGAAGAAAAACAGTCCTCTAGGTATGTATTAGCTCCATGGAATGGTATGTAGCTCACTGGTCCCTTTGAGAGATGAAAATTCCAGTAGAAAATTTGTGAATGTTTTCTTTATTAATATATAATATCCAGATACATCTCTCATAGCAAACACAGGGCTTAAGGCCCGTTCAACATGAAAATGCGTGAGAATTAGCAAAATCAAATAGAAAATGTTTGTAGTCTGGAGATTTCAGAGATACGGTTCTGTTCAACCTTAATTCATGTATGTCCTGGACAGTGTTATGGGGGAATTGGCAGAGGATGTGCTTCTTGATTTAAAGAGTTTGGCACAAACTGTGGCCCTGCCTTGAACAGAACTATGCCTCCTTGAACATTTCCTGCCAGTCCTGAGAAACGTGTCCTCCTCTTCTACCTGTAGTTAAATGTCAAAATGTAGCCCTTGGAACATGCATGGCAGCTTAATGAGAAATTCATATGGCAAATTCTGATTTAAGGTGCTTCCATAAAATGAATGGATGCATAATTATATCTGTAATACAAGAAGCAAATGATATTTTTGCATATGATTTTTCTAGATAATTTATCCCCAGTAGGGATTATTAGGCTATTTGGTTTAATCTACTGTTTACCCTGACTTCCCTCCTGAGCCCAGTAGTTTTCACTTGGCTTGTGCACTGTCTGCAGCAGACTGTCCTGTCTTGACAACGAGGGAAGACATTAAGAGATGCTGAGTTTACAGTTTGCTTCAATGGTTAATCACTTTGTTGCAAATTTGTATTTCTGATTTGTGTTTTTGTAGTTCTAATTTGCAGTCATTGCTTCTTTCATGTCTTTATATGAGAGATGAAAAGATACAATATACTTCGTAAGACATGTCTACACAAAATACAAATAAAATAAACTGTGCCAGGAAACAAGCCTAGGACTTGAAACTCAATTGCCTATACCAGTCCCTGGAATGGTTTCAAACTGGGCTAGTTCCTACCATCACAGCCAATTCCTGGGCATGCACCAGGAATTAGAATAGGCCAATGATCATTCCTAATAGGTGGATTGGATGTGGCCCTTCTGTTTCAGCAGATGATAGACTTTAATAGCATGGAGAGAGGCTCTTACATATGAGCTGGCTTCAGTGCCAGAGAATGGTCGTAAGTGATTTTAATATATTAATACAGAGGTATGCCCCACTGAAGGAACTTTTTTTTGATAAATCGAGCTAGCTTAATTTTCAATCAAGCAGGACAAAATATTTTACCATTCTCAAAGCCTGACAAAAACCAGAACTCTTTAAACTGTTGATGATCTAGAAGAAATAAAAAAGAAGGAAAACAAAAGGCAATTCAATTTTGGGTCATTTGCAATATTTCCAGATCAGTTTAGAGATGGTTGCCATAATTAGGTTACATTCTGAGAGAAAGGCTTTTACAAATGGAAATTGTATTTATTTTTTCATTTTAAAAATGTTGAAAGAGGATGTTTCAACAACTTTGAAACTACTGGAAACATTTCAAAACCAGAAATATGAAAATTGATCCCTTCCAGCAGAGTTTCCATTTGATGAATAGATACTATCAGCTGAAAAACATTCCATCAAAGCATTTCTAGCCAATTCCATTTCAAGTTTTTTCACTGCAAGACATTTTTCAAGCCTTCAAATAACTTGGTGCCTCCTTTTAACACCGACTCCTGTACCTCAACTCTCTCTAAGCTTTTTTTCTGTATTTCCATTAAACTATTTCAAATTCTAAGTCACTCCCAAGATCTTTACAGAAAATGTATGTTTTATAGCCCTAAAATAATCACATGAAACATCTAAAGTCTCAAGAGCAGATAAAAGGACCTAATTCTACAAACAGTTGTACAAATTGTAGTCTCCAATTTTGCTATTTTACTAATAAATTAAACAACCTGCACTTCATAACACAACAAATACTTAAACAGAAACATGAAATATTTTAATTGCCAGGAAGTTTACAAAAAAATAGTTCATTACCAAAAAGAGTATTTAATTACATTTACTGCCATAATTGCTGAAAAGCAATCAGTATGCCATATAAATTGACATAAAAAGCATATTGCTTCATTTCCTCATTTCTGACAGTCACTCAACTGAACAATTACTGTTTGCTGCTATGTGAAGACTGAAATAATCTGCAGAAGAGCAGTCAAATGGAACTTCCCAGACCCTTCGTATGTTAGACTGGATATGTCTCATGTTACTGTTTTACAGGAATTTTGGTTTAAGAATACAAAACATTAAGAGACAGTTTTGCAGACTAGGAGGTTCTTCACATCACCACCAAGGAAATCCGGTTGGGAAGGAAGATGGGTACTGAAGGATGGATACGTCATCCAACCAGGGCTGCATTTCATGTACGTAAGTATTATTTAAAGATACAGAACTGCTGACAAATGCAAAGATTGCCTATGTTTTTAGAGGCAGAAGGAGATACACACATTCTGCTGGGACAACGTTAATTGTCAACACTGTAAACAATGTCCTCACGGGTGTCTGGAATGAAGGAAAAGAAAAATCATCTCAAACTACTGGCAGTTGTTTGTCAACTCTTTTTCTGAACTGGTAATTGCAGCTTGTCTTCAATGCTACACATTTGCAAAGAACAGGACTTCTTTCTGAATATTCATCTGGACATGCAGCATCATGCTTTTGCCATTCCTGTTCTCATGCTGGGTAAACTCAGGAATGTGATGAAAGTTCTCCTTTTCACATACCCCCTTCTGATCAGTGGGAAATCTTCCAATGACTTCAATGGAGTTACTACTTATTTCCCTCCTGGTCATCTTCCTTTACTAACGTCTGTCCTTAAGGACATTAATGTCATCTTCACAGTCTTAATAAAATTTTGTAACTGAAATAAAGTACCCTGTTTCCTCATGGTTTTCTATTTAAAAGTACTCTTTCAAGACATGGAATTTTGGACAATTTTCTATTTTTTATTTGAGAAAGGCATGTATACTTGGGAAGTGTGTGAATTCTGTTTACCTCAAAATCTCTCTGCATTTTTTACAAATATCCTCAGAAACATTTCCACTGTAAGAGGCTCCCTGATAGACAGCCTTTCCTATTAGGCAAGTACTCCAGAAACATCCTCATCTTTTTTTCTGAATGCTAGGGAATGTTTTGAGCAATAGTTTCTGTACTATGGCTTCCAACAATTTTTTGTTTGAAACTTGCCTCAGAAAAGTTCTGCCCATGAATCCATTTACAAACATGCACACTGGCAGACTTCCATTTCCAAACCAAATTAATTCATTAACAGTTTAGTCAGTGCCATGACAGCATATGCCTCTTGATGCTTAACTTTGCAAAAACATACCCCACAAAACCATGATCTTGAACAGAGAGAGAGACCAGATAGTGCTGTGACATAGTTGCCCATGTGTATAAGGGGCAGGCACATGTCTGACATGGACCATGCTGAAGACAATGTATTCTTGCCAGCAAAGGAACAGGGGGAAAGGAACACTTGGAAAAAAAGGGGGTTATATTCTGTTTTGAACCACCTCTTGGTCTATATCTGATCTTGCATCTCTTAAATATTTAAAGCACAACGTCTCTGTAACTTTTTTCAAACATATTTTTCTTTATTTTTTAATTTGTTTTCTTGTTTATCAGCTGTAAGGAACTTCAGTCTTTCCATAGTGACCACTCTAAAGGGAACTCTTGTGTCTGGAACATCAGGAGTCAGCTCAAATCAAATAAATTAATACATCCCTGATTTTCTAGGATTTAGAGGGAACCAGGAGCCTTATCAGTTATACAAGGCCTGAGACCAATAAATCCCCCTTATCCCCATGTATATGAACT